AAATGAAGTATATAAAAAATATACAAAAATCAGATATTGTAAATATTTTATAAAAACAGCTTTAAGTACTTTGTAAACTTTTTGAAGATTGGCAAAAATCGATAAAGTAGCTTGAAGTGTTGGCAAGCAAAGCGAATGGCACTCAATAAATAAGATTTTGATGAAAACAAAACGTTAAATAATGAGGAACAAAATAGCGACGAAGAGAGAGAATGAGCGCGAGAGAAAGATAGACGTATATTTATATTAAAAGCCGGTTTAAAGGTAATCAATAACAGGTGAGCGAGTGCATTGAAAGTGAAACTGAATGATCGGGAAGCGCTATTGAGAGATGATTTTGCTGGTCAGCAAACTGGGCCAAGTGCGCGCGAAAAGAAAACCTCAGGTAATTACAAAATAGACTGTAATTCAGGCAGGCTCCGATCCATGGCAAAAAGGGGGAAAAAACAGTTGGCAACGCAGACACAGCTGAATTAGCCAGCAGAAGCGAAGTAAAAAGAGAATCAAAATATGACCAGCCAGCTGTGGGTCTGCTGGGCACAAGCCACTTCAAAGTATTCGCGGAGTTTTGCTGTGGCATTTATAAGCGCGAGCTGAAGCTGCAAACGGTTTAGTTCCTCGCCGTAAACATAACTAGTCACAACAACGCGGCACAGAGCGGAAGCCGGTGATCAGAGTTGGCCAGCTAACCAGTTAACCAGTTGAATATTGAACCAGTCAAGAGCCAGGAGCCAGTCTCAAGGGGGCAAAGTGAATGCGCGACTCGTTTGGCGGTCTTTTATTATTGTTATTTGTTATTGCTCGCATTGTTGCTGCTGCTGGTGTTGCTGCTGTTTGGCAAGACGAGAAATTCATTGTCAACACTGCCCTCGCATTCCACGCCAAAATGCCGCGCATGCCAATGATCGCGCTGCTGCTGCCGCTGCTGTTGACAATAACGTGGTCAGCGCAAGCGCAGGCCCGAGCGCTTCAGACAGATCCTGTTACGGAGCCCAGTCTAGAAGGGCCTCGCACGGAGGCAGCGATAGGCCCGGACGAGGAGGAGACCACGTATTCGGGCAGTCTTGAAATGAACACGGTTACCATTTCGGTTGACGCGGATGCCATCATGACCACCGATGATGGCGTACAGATGTTCACATCGCTGCCGGCATTCACGACCACGGAGGAGCCGCTGCCCGATTCAGTGGTGCAGCAGCTGGAGCAGGAGCGAGCGGAGCGGGATGGCCGGCTGACAACTAAGGCGCCAACTACAACAGAGGAGGTGGAAACGACGACAGTGGCACCCACAAATGCCACAACTCGAGCAACCACAACCCCAACAACAATAAATACAACAACTCAGCCAGCAACAACAACAACTCAGGCAGCAACAACAACAACTGCTGCCATAGCAATGACAACAGTGCAACCAGAGCCAGTCACTGAGCACGCGGCCCCGGAGAAGTCTCAGAGCTTGCTGAACCCGAAGTCTACCATATCGAGGCTCGTTGAAGAAAGCCAGGAGATGAACCTGGAGTCCCTGTCGTCCATTGGGGATGTGGCCGGCTACATGACTACGGAGCAAACCGCCATGATCGCCGAGGAGGCCGAGTCCTACGGCAGCGAGCAGACGACCAATGTGCCACTGATGGACTTCAATACCAGTGGCTCGTTCTCATTGGACGCAATGGCATCGGGCACGGAGTCGTCGCTCGTGGAGCAGAGCACATTTATGGAGAGCATGTCCGCTCGGGTCGAGTCGACTACCGAAATGGATACGATGCGATTCATGACCACACAGCCGCCAGAGGCCGATTACGAGCCCCATGCGGAGGTGATCACTGAAGCCAGCCACAGCAACAGCACCACGGAACGCAACATAATGCATCTGCTGAGCCGCCTGAGTCTGAACACGATTACCCAAAGACCAGGCTCTGAGCCAGAGGCAAAGTTCATCACCACTGAGGAGTCCGTCATGCAGACGACGCTCACTACGGCCAGCGCTGATGTAGGGAGCACCACTGAGCCAGGCACCGAAAGCACACTTGCACCACCCAAGCAACAGAGCCTCTTCCAGGCTGTGCCTATGCAGGGGACCACAGAAGCTGCTGCAGCAAGCTCAACAGATGCACCACTGACCAGCAGCACCACCAGCACCACCACCACCACCAAGCCAACCACCGAGCTGATAACTAAGGCAACGCGTGCACCGCGCATCGAACGCATCTTCAACTCGGATGGCGTTGAGGTGCTCTACGGCTATTCATCGGTGAATCGCTCCTAAGCGCGCACCACACACACAAATCACCAAAAATGACCTTGTCAAGGTCAGCTTGTCATACAACATCACAGCAACAACAACAACAACTCACACAACAATATCGACAGAAAATGACATTTTCGTGCTGGATTTTTCCAAATTCTAAACGAGCGAAATATTTAAATCTATTGTGATAAACGAAAAGAAAGAGGAGAAGCCGACGGAGGAGAAGAAAAAGAAGTAGAAAGACAAAACAAAATAAAAACAAAAATATAAATAATATTGTGCAAATTATTGTGTGGCTAAAAAAATAAAATCGATTTTATAATTTATAAATAAAACATGAATTACAATAAAACATTTCATTTCGTGTTTGCCTTAGAGTTTGCGCAAGGAAAATAACAGAGACAGCCGGGAGTGTCAACTGGCAGATACCCCGCATAGTGCAATTCTCTCTTAAGTCTGAAAATCTAAACTTTTGTTACTCTGCGTATACTTAATATAAAAAATATGAATATCGTGATTCACTTAGGTAACTCTCATAATCTGAAATCTTGCGAATATATCAATCTACATTTAGCATTGCTTTAGGCACTTACAAATTTGATGCATTATTAATTCACATCATACCTTCTCTTAGCAGCTGCAGGGTATTTAAAATATACACGTAGCATTCGTATTTGATCCACAAATGGGTTTGGTATTGCATTTGCATTTGTGATCGTAAATAAACAAAAAAGAATGGCATCATATCGTCGAGAGAATCGACTGAGGTGGAAGCTTAAATACGCTGCATAGCTCACGAGGCAGGGGAAGGCGTAGAGGTGTGGCAACCGGTATGTGTCACTGCAGATATTGAACTCGCTAACTTGTTTTATTACCTAACTATAGAAAAGCCAAGTATTTAGTTGTAAATTCAAGTATGAATTTTAGGCATACGATATATTATGTATATTTTGATAAGATTACTTTGAAATTTCATTTCAATTTATGTAGTACAGTGCACTCGGCGAGCTAAACCCGGAAGAGTGAGTAAACATGGAAGATTCAACAGATGTTCACTTGATAAATTAACCAACTGGCTTCACACATTTTGAGTCATAATTATAAACTCTATAATTATTTAGTATCATTTTGAGACATTGTTAGCTATCTGAGTCACAGCTGAAAAGTATTATAAAGATGTCTGGAATACTACTTAAAACATATACTGATATATATCATCATTAAATTAAATATTTAAAATAGTATATCGTTAAGCTCCTCTAACTCGTAGACAAATACAGGGTTTCTAGTCGCAGAAAGACTAGATAAATTAATAAATATATCCAAGTATATATTTTTAAATATCTCACATTTCCCATAACACATAGCCATATACAGGGTATCTAATAGCAGCACTGCCATGAATTGCAGCAGCTTAGCAAACTCATTTTGGGCACTGCTCTCAGTCAACCTACTAGCGAAACTGTATGCTGCCCACCTGTGTTGAAAAACCGGCATTAGCCAAAGTAATCGTCATACATTTTTGGGCTTTAATGTTCCGGCATGAACAGACGCAGACGCAGACGCAGACGCAGATGCCAATTGGGGCCCTGTTGCAGACACGTGGATGGAGACTGGTCTATGAAATCGAAGCTGCAAATCTGGTTTGACAACGCACATTCATTCATCGTTGTCGCCAACGGATATATAAATCGATCTCTATATATATATATTATAATTTTGATAAACATACGAGCGATATACTTGTACTTGATTAGTTGACTTAGGGTTTTTCGGTTTAGCAATGATTATCACGTTCCCATTCGAAAGAGTGGGCAATAAAATAAATACTCACATCGAGCTCATTTCCATTCGAACTTGAGACAGGCGCTAAAATGCATGTTGAGTGCGGGCTATGTAGCTGATAAAGAAGAAGAAGAAGACGTGATTGAAGGCTTTCAGCAAAGCGGGTTTTTCTCCCTCTCTCTCTCTCTCTCTCTCCCGCACTCTCAATACCAGCTGACTAATCGAACCATTTAAATTGATACACATAAACTCGGGTTATTATTAATCAGTTAAGAATGTGAATAAGAGAAAAATATATATATGGAATAAATATATATGTGAAATAAAGTTAAGAGAAAATACGTTTTGCTCGTAAACTTAAAACAGTCTTTATCACTTTAATTAAGAGAAGTTTTCTAGCTGGGCTTTATTATATGCTTCTTGTTTTTTGTGTGGCTCTCTTTATCTAAATCTCCCTGTCATCCTCTCTCTCTCTCTTTCTTTCAGCCGTCCCCCCCTTGACCTTGATAATGGATTATTGCTGTAAGCTATTTAAATGAAAGCAACACATTTACAGTAATATTTCAGCTATAGAATAAAGTTAATTTAAATTGYATTAATTGTAAAAAAAAAAAAAATAAATAAATAAATAATTATAAAACCAAATAAACATACAAATTTAAATACACAAAAAGCATTTTTTTTTTACATTAGATAAACCTGAAACTTTGATACCCATACTCTTCTATTGTTGCGTTTTAAAGCTTTCTAAGATTTTTAACAATTTTTACAGCACCCAAAAGTTGGCTTCACCAAAACAAAATCGAATAACGCATAGATATTTGAAAGTATCCCCATTTAGCATTCAGACCTGTTCATCATTAAAATTATAGATTTTAGTGACAGACGTTATTTTGCACACGCAAATTGTAATCTATTCATATATCAAAACACATTTCTTCTTTATATCACATCGTCTTCTTTATATTACATTAAACGTGCCTAGGAACCAGTCATCCAGTTCATCCGCTCGGCGCTGGTTATATAAGCGCCAGACGATCTTCATTTTGCCAATAATTATCTCAACGATGAAGCTCTTCATGCTGTTCGCTCTTCTGCTGATTTCACTGGCAAGGTCAGGCAAGGTCAGTCCCGCAGCGCATTCCCACTCCGCAGCTACCGTTAGACGTAGCCTACTGGGAGAACAATGGAGGCGTCAGAGAAGGAATTGGCGCAAGCAGTAACGAAGACATTAGCGATCAATCCAATGAATCTGCTGAAGCGTGAGCGGCGGCACTTTAAACGGAGCACGCATTGAGATAAAAAATAGTCAACTAGCAAGAAAGCTCATGGCTGGGGCTTCCGACCACAACATTCCTAAATTCTTTAAGATCTGCGCTCTGCGATCTGCGCCATAATTGAATTGAACTGAGTTAAGCTTACAACTTTGCATTTTCCCAGTCGAATAAATAATATAAATAGAAGACATACATATTGTAGTTTATCTGGACTCAAACCAATATCTACGTAAACCTCGAAACGAAGCACCTCTATCAATAATGCCAACTCATGTCTCTACAAAAAATTTCACTAAACTAAAAACAGAAAGTCATCCAGAACGTCTCAAGCACTATTTCACTAATGAAGCAGCTGAAAATTCAAGCACAAATCACATATCTACATATATCTAATTATTCTATTTAATTCATTTATTATTCCAGTGTTACCAGTCAGCCGATCGACCATAGCTGTTGCTCTGTTTCTTTTATTCCTTCACTCTCTTTCTCTTTTTTCTCTCACTCTCTTTCACTCGTTCTCTCTCTCTCTCTCTCTTTCTCTACAATACTTTTATGTCTCGGCTTTAAGCTTCGGCAGGTTTTCAACAATTTCGATTGCACCCAAAAGTCGACTTGAATAAATTGAACTGGAACGACAGAGGTAACAGAAACATTGAGCTTTTAGCACTTAGACCTTACTTTTAATAATATCATAGCGCTAAACGTCATTGTGCATACGGTACGGTATATATTCTATATACTAACGCATATATATACATATATATATTTTTTCTCCAATAATTGTTTTAATTTGTTCAGTATATTACGTTAAACGTGTCACGAAACCAGTCATCCAATTTATTCGCTCGTCGCTGGCTATATAAAGCGACAGGTGATCTTGCATTTGTCAATAATTATCTCAACGATGAAGTTCTTCATGCTGTTTGCTCTTCTGCTGATTGCACTGGTGGCAGTTCAGGCAGCACCACAGCCCGGTAGATCCAAAGCCATAGCAAACGCAAATGCCAGTGCCGTATCCAAGGGCCGCGGTAAGGCCGTGGCTAACGCCAATGCATCTGCCAGTGCATCTTCTGGTGGCGGCCGTCGAAGGGGTTAATCAGCATCTTTCAACGGAACACGTATCATGACAATAAAAATATCTATAGACGGTTTGATGAGAAAAGAGAAAAAACATCTAACGATTTAAAGTACATATGATTATTTGTTATACCGTTTTCTTATAAATAAATAAACATTGTAAACATGAACAATCTAAATAAAATATTAAATAAAAAAATTAATAAAT